TTTTTTTTTTGCTTTTTTTTTTTTTTTTGATAGATTGAATTCCCAGAAACTTACTACAATCGGACCGTAGACCGTTTATATACAGCCCATTATATCATTTATTAATACATTGCATTCGAAGAGTGATCGGTATGTTGTATTCGGACACTATATTTATTTAATTTTAGGGCACATAGAAGAAATTATTATATTATCACTCTTTAAAAAAAGTGATGAGGGCGAGCGGTTTTTGTTTTTTGTTTTTTTTTAATCGGAACAATAGAACATAGCTTTTTTATTGATGAGGGAGGGACTGTTTTTATTTGGCAAGAATATTGTAAATATTGTATATAAACTGGTTTAATTTTAAATATTTTTAATCAATATTTCACGCATCAATATTTCCCAAATTTTGGACGCGCACGGGAGTGATGATCTAACCATTTTTTTCTATGTGCCCTTATTTTGTTGAGATATATTTTTTGTGGGCGACGGAGGGAGTAGTAAACAAGATTTCACTTGATTTATTCTACAAATTCACAGAAAAAAATATTCAGAGCACAAGTAAAGCAAAAATATTTTTTTTATTTATTTTTTTTTTTTTTTTTTTGTCATTAGGGAGAACATAACATGCAGTGGTTGCTCCCCAGATAACGAGCACGATGTTTCAATTTTGAATGTAAAGAAGAAGGAAATAAGTAGGAAAATCACCAAACCATTCACGTTTTTTTTTCAATTATTTTTATGCTCTGTTTTGTTTAAGCAATGTCGTGTATTGCATTTTCCTAGCCACAAAGAAATGCAGAATGGTTAACTGATGCTCAGAACTCAGAAGTAGTAACATTACTTTGATTAGCGTAGGAAGCGTGGTTCATCTGGATTGCATAACGGTTGATCGCGTGCAAATGTGTCCCCGGAGAAAATAATCCATGATTCAATGGGTCAATAAATGTATGGCTTTACAAATTGATTCATTCAGAGTACGATATAGTGAACTTTGGATGGTACCATCAAGGAGGTTATACCTCCTTGGTACCAGGGACTTGCAAACCAGCTCTCTTGTTATATTGGTGCAATATTATATTGGTATATTGATGTCAAATGGTCAGTGTGTGACAGTGCGCGAATCCAGGAATATGAAATAGAGGGAGCCCGGGGGGTTTACAGGTGGGGGGTCTATACCTCTTGAATCCAACCATGATTGGGAAAATGTATGATTATGACACCTCTAGATGACGGGGAATGACACTACCGGAACTAGAATTTGAATATGACGGCTGCTCCCCTTGAATCCGCCACTGGTGCATATAATGACTACTCGGCCAATCACACTTTAGGGAACAGTGTGTTTACATCGGCGATACGTAATGGGATGAATACAGGCGCAGACAATTCATGTTGACGTGAGTTCGCAAGAAAGCTACTGTAATGCTAGATAGGCCTATGTGACAAAGTAACGGTACTGTAACAGTGTCAGTAGTTGAATTTGGAAAGAAAAAGATAATAAATAGAAAGTATTGAATTGCTCATAGGTCTAATGAGACTTCAAAGAAACATTTCAGTTATTGCTCATTTACAGTCTGTTGACTGAAAATCCTTAAATTGACTGCCAGGTCCATTAATTTTAGAGTCAGACGAAAAATATGGAACGCTAATATTTATTCATCTGTTAAATGTCGAGGAAAACATTTTCTAGTTTTCATTTGGCAATCGAAAGCTAGTACTAGGAAGGTCTGTAAAAGTATTACAGATGCAATTCAAATACTGCACGGTATTGAGATTTTTTTTATATTACTTTTTAGTCCTAGTTAAAGAGAGAAAGAATGCATTTCAAATTAATGTCAGAAGCGTACGTATGGTAGGCTATTTCATCTATGAACATTTTAATGGCAACATCAATTCGGCTCTGATAACATTTTGTCCTAATCGATACGTGATGTTCAGCTTGTTTGCACCTGCCTTTTGTATTACGGTACATCATGTGGTAGGCTTAAATGAATTCAACTGATGAACATCATTGACAAATCACCGTAGCGCCTCTAAAATCATTTAATAATAGTGTGGTTCCAATAGCGATGAAATGCAGAACATACACAGTGCAATAAAACATTTGGATCCGCTAAGGCAAATGAATCGTGGTGGGTCAGGGGTGAGGGTATGAGTGTCAGTCTGTCGCCTCCCCTCCACAGCTCACTCGACGACGCTTCCTATGCACAAGACGATAGGCCAACTTATCGATCTATCTATCCGGGCACTTAGGACTACTAATGAATAGATAATCGTAGTAGGCATACAGGCATGATCATTGAGGAAGGAGTAAAAAACAACATTAAAGTTCATAGCTTTTAATAGAAAGTGTAGAAAATTTACCAAGGAAACTGACGAATGCCAAAAACACCGATGGGGTACTTTTCAAACATTGTTATCAATTCTGATCACACATGGGGCACGGTTTTTAAGTGTCTATAATCAATTCGAATCACGATCTAATTATAAAGAAGATCATTTGTGCAAAATTTACGTGAGCAGAACGATATGAAGTTAAACGTGACATAGCCTACGCGAAACGGATTCGAGCTGAAATACTCGAACCTAAGTGAAGAGGACATTTAACAGCTGATGTGTATACGGCTCTGGTATAGTAAATATGTTTGTTGAAAACCATACTATATAGATGGTCTACATCAGATTATTCAATTAAAAATATAATTGGTTATGATTAGATTGGATATGTCCGGAACTATAGAATATATTAAAGTAATATGATATTAATATTTAGAAAATGGTTTTGACGATTCACGTCACGGTTTATTTATACCTCAAGATTTAGCAGTTTGCAGAAGGCTTTCGCTAATTCCAATTTTTCATTGTATTAGGCCTGTAAATTAATAAAAAGTTAAGAAGCCTATCCAATAAACGTATTTTTGCTGTATTTTACATTGTCTGTATTTGAACTCAAAGATACAACTAAGCACATCTTCACAACGCGAGAGGAAGCCCCACTTAAACATCCCGTCTGCTAAGCACATGCACTCACATTTCAAGGCCTTGTCAACCTGTCAACCACGCTTACCCATGGACACATACAATGCAAAACCCTCCTTCTGGCCGCCTAGTGTATCCAACAGGGGTTGTCTTAAGGAACAAGGGGTACCGTACTATTCATCCACAATGACATCTTGATGACGGATTTACACCGATGTGCCAATTCGTAGTTGTCAATTACGTTAAATGTTTTATTTAGCAAGCTTAAATTTGTACTCGACATTTTAAGTTACATAAAAACGGGGGAAACTGTACTATCATCGGGAAGACAATCAGCCGTAACAAAATCGAGGGAGATTAGAAGAGATGGGGCTCGTTAGTGAATACGATGATTCGTTAATCATGCGTCACTAACCGTATTGTAGACACTGCCAAAGTCAGGTTGCCGTGTCGTCGCAAAGATTCACCAAATTCGTCTGCTCCGTCTACAATCTTTTGAATTTATGGCAACCATTTGATTTAAATTTAAGATATAGTTTCGAGATAATTATGAGCAATGTGTGTATATAATATATATATATATAATGTGTGTGATAAATATGTATAGGCCTATATATACTCATATATATATATAGGCCTATGCCTATATATATTATATATAGGCCTATATATATTGTATAGTATTCTTGTATTACAAGGTATATATATTATTAATTGTATTCGTATATTATATAGATTATATATATATTAGATTGCACGAAGTAGAAACGTATACGTGACAATGTCTATTATGTCAATGTATACGTTTCTACTTTGTGTAATCGTACTTATTTTATATTATCAAGACATAGGTGGAACATATATGTTAAATGAAATATATTTTGCTGTGCATGGTGTTTATATCAATTAATTAACTAATTAAGATGTCTACTATATATATATATATTATACATATATATATATATATATATATACTGTATATATATGCCTATATATATATAGAGAGACGATTTATACGTCTTTGATCATCTTCGGTTTTATAGAATGTTATTTTCATTGAACGTGCACCGTCATTTAACAAATAACGTCAGACAATTAGGCAATTAGCAAAATGACACGTTCTTCTTGATCGGATGGGTTTGTATGAAGGTTGAATTCATATCGTCTGTGATTATTATTATCGTTGCTAAATGACTTTGGTCTTGTTCACAGGAAGCATTGCAAAATGTCAAGTAGAGGGAGAAGTAATTAAACTGCCAATCCTGGCCGGGAACCCTTGTATAACCTGTATATGTAAGGTTAGTACGGTAAACTTTGTCAATATAAACATAATTTTCTTCTTTATTTCGATTCATTTGTATTTGAGGTGGCCATGGTGGCTCAACCACGCATGCGTGTGTTACGTATAACTACTTACACTACAAAATTAGGCACTATGACATTGTACGTATACCGATTACTTTTTCCTAAGTATAAATATAAGTGTATATATAAAAAAGTTCAATTTATCATGTATAGGTCTACTTTATCATTGTTAATCTGTGCTTAGGCCTATTGTAGTTATGAGTACCTATAATGTATATGTAAACATAGACCTACTACGCTCTGTATTTTACTTGTGTCCTTATGCAAGGCACTTTACCTCTGTTGTCTCTCTTAAGGAGTGCACAAATGGGTATCTGGTTGGTTCAAGCACAAAATAATGTTAAGTGCATAGAGGTCTCTATAATATCGACCATTATAATCATTACAGTACAAAACAAGGTCAACCATGTAACCTCTCCTTATAGATTGTACAGTACTTATTTTGTATATCATAATTTGTTGAATTGTCGTCAATCGTCAGCAAGCAAATTTTCAAAATTGATTTATCCTATCGATTGTTCCAAATTCAATGCTTGGCTTACGATATGCTCTGTTGAATCCGGTGACAATTGTTCGTTATCAATTCAAATACTTCGGGTACAATCTTTTGAATTCGCTTTAGGAAAACTAAAGTTAATTTAACTATCGAGCAATGTCCTGTGTGCAGTGGTGTACATACGGTAGAGTATAAGGGTTGGTTCTTAACTGGAGCATAGATCCGTTACCGAAAAGCGTTTCATTGACATTCCGTGAAGGTTCCGGGGAAGGTCCACTCTTCTTTGGACATTTTCGGACTGCCAATCAAACTTAACAACTGACCTATCAGAACAGTGCCAGCAATACTCGCGTGTCGTACAGACTCGACGTATTGGCTATGTTCTCACACGGCTGCTAACGGTTAGCAGGATCCGGATCCTGCTAACCGTTAGCTGCCGTGCGTCCATATGAAAAAAAAATCCCGATGGATACCAAAATATGATGATCGAATCACTGGCCAATAAGAAACTGGAAATTGTAAACGCGTACGTGTGATTGGTTGATGATAAAAACGCGCTCAACTTGCTAACCGATAGCGCTTGCTAACCGTTAGCGGTATCCGGATAATGCTAACGGTTAGCGCTAACCGATCGGGCGTTCTCACGCAGGTGCTAACGGTTAGCGCTAACGGTTAGCCCCCCGCTCCGGATACTAGGGCTCTCGTGAGAACCAGGCTATATAGTATCACAAACCACGAGTTTACTTTATGGTTACGCTCATGTTTTGTGGGACTTTAGCAACTATATCCAAGGGGTTCGATCTTCACGGTAAGATCCATAACCTGCTTAACTACGAGTTGCTTTTCGGGCATTTCAAGATAACCAATCAACGTCTAGTTTGGAGTTGGGAGGTAGGTGGGCGCGCTGCAGCGTAGCCAATAACAACACAGAGTACAACCTATACGAGATACTTTACACTTTTTATGTTATAAGAACTTTGAGGCTGAAAATGCTTAAAAATTAAGAACAAATTGAGGCTGAGGCAAAATTTCAACTGAAGTTTTTATTTATTTATTTTTTAATAGAAAACCAACACATTTTATCTGTACCTTATGTGCGGTAGGTGTGATTTAATACTCTACAATACCCTCTTTATTAAAGTACAGTAATATACTGCTGCAAAATAATAATTTTTGATGTTTGAAAAGTGTGTTAAAATAAGAACAAAATAAGAACATTTTGAGCCTGAAATCAGCAAAAAAAAAAACAAGAAAACGGAGCCTGGCCAAAATTTTACTGGTTCTTATAAAAAATAGTGTAAACATTTAAAACAGAATAAGAAGAGAGGTTTACCAAAATAACTACGTCAACACGTATGCCTACCATTACTGTCAAATCAAGTAATGTGTTCTGCAAAATTGTGGTCTGTTGCATGTTGAAAATTGCAATAATTTCTGATTGGCTTGACATGAGATGCTGCAACCTTAAACAAAACATAATTTCAATGAGTCTGGAATGTTCAAGACACTCCTAAACGTCGTATGTTCAGACGCTTCCTACAATCATAAAATCGTGATGAACTTTACAGATAGACTTCTGTTCGTCAATAGGATCTTATTATTCACCCACACCAAGCCTAGACATTTCAGTGTAGGAGGCCTATCATATCGCCCATTCCCCCTTCTTCAAGACATGTTCTCAACATAACGTTAGAAATTGACAAACAACACTACGATGGTCACTTATCTCACGCTGTGGCGGTGCTTATGAAGACTAATAATAGCCCTACACAGAAATAGATTCCCCTTTTCTCCTTATTTACCTTCACAATATACAGAAAGTCTATCTATCTACGTGATTGAACACGATGATCATAGTAATTTTCCAGTGATAACCTAACTAGATAATGCGTCTTGTTTTGGGCAGTTTAGGTGCTATGTGCATGTCTTTGCGGGTGACATTTTTGAATTGATCAAAATGCCTGTAATTGTCAAAGTCAAAATTGAACGACCTATTATTCCACTAACGACCTCGCATCACTGCGTTTGTATTCAACCCCCCAAATCCATCATCGAAAACCACAAATCTGGATTTACCTCAAGCAATTTTCCATAAATATTTTACATTTTCCCATAAATCCATCAATTTACGATTCAATTGTCCTGAAGTTTAAATTTCTGTAGAGTTTTTATAGGTTATTATGAGAAAAGGAAGCGAGATATGCAGGTTTGTGAAAATTGTACCTGCGTACAATCCCAACAGGTCACGTTACATGACCCGGATATTTTTATATGACAATTTTGATTGTAGTTTTTGTTCAAAAACGGGTAATTTATAAATTTATTGTCGGGCTTCTTACATTGTTGTTGTACATTGTTGTTGCAACGTTTTTCATTTACCTGTCTGTTATCAGCTACTTTGTTAAGATACAATTCAAATATTGGATCGACTATAACGGAAACTAGTTAAATACAGTACTAGGCCTAGACCTATTCTACATGTCTATTTCTAATTCGTACAGGAGATGTGTATAAGAGACAGTAACAACACAGAGTACTTACTATACTGCTGCTACTGTTAATACTGCTGCTACTTCTACTACTATACTGCTGCTGCTGCTTCTACTACTACTGCTGCTGTTGCTGTTGCCTGTTGCTATGCTTAAGGCTTTCTCGATGTCAAGTCTCAACTGAGGGACCCACGTAAACATAAACGTAAATGCTGCAGCTCTTGCTATTACACAGAATGCTCTCTAATCAGACAGAATACTATACAATACTTTATTTTTAAACGCCAATTAAAACTTGCCTTACAGGAAATTAGTTTAAAGTATCAATAGTATATAATTGTTTCATTCTGAAGAAAATATAGCTAGAGTTGACCTTTGCCCCGTTACCATTCGCTTGGTTTATGAGTTCCTTTCATTTCTAAATTAGATTCTCTCAGCTTAATTGAATCGTTCCGTAATAATTATTAATCTATCCAATCTTGAATAAGTACAGTACACTTCTCAATGTCCACTTCTTATTATACTTCGATAACATTCAATTATACTTTATTATTTTTATTATTAATTAATCGTTTTTTAATAAGTCAAGTTTACTGCTGAAAATACTGACGCACAATCGATTGATACTCTATGATCCGTTGTCTTAATTGGTTAATGAAGTAATTTTTAAAGCCTAATTTGATTGCAATTTCTGGTTTGTATTAAGAGGCTTCCCCTGCGTTAATGACTGATATCAATCGAAGTAAATCATAAATGACAACACAATTACTGTACATTTAGGGCTGCTACACTGTGTGACTGTGTGTAGGCCTAGTCGATTCCATTCAAATTAGTTATTACGTTATACAATATATAATGTCGTTTGTTAATTAGGCCTTTTTTAAACCTCTACAATGTGTCCATATTACTACATACGTCTTTGTCTTTTTGGATGTATCCGGCGAGATCTGCATTGGTGCAGGCATCCTCAAGAGATGTTGCATAGTCTGAGGCACATCCTCAGAGGCACAGATGATTGGGTTGGTAGAATATCCCAATTTCTGTAAATATTGACTTTGGAGAGGCTAATCCTAATTCCAAGTCTATCAAGACTCTTCTACTAGGTCTTCATCAGGTTTTATTTTCATCGCTAACTGTTGTGGTATATTGGCAGCTGTTCCTCCCACAAGGCGATACCGCACTTCAGAGGGTGTTGATGTGTAATTTAAAGCAGTATACTGTAACCTCTACGTGGCCGGAGTGCCCATTTCTCTGTCTTAAGCGTTTAGCCCAGACTGCAATGCGGTGAGGAGATTGACACTCCTCCTCACATTCATTCTGGTACCTCCCCAGCATATGCGGGCGCCAATTTATTACTTTTTGGTAGAGATGGGCAGACGTAAGGGCACAAGCTACTAGCACAGCAGCGGCTTGAACCTTGACCATAAAGTTGAGAGTTCGAGTCTTGTTTAGACAACCGCTTTAAAATGTGTGCAGTATGTTCCTATGTTTATTAGATAATTAGGTGACAGTTTAAGTACTTTGTGTACACAAACATCAATATACATACATACACACATACACCCCCACACACCCCCACATACACACAGCTACTGTAGGTGGCACAGCTCAAAGGTCCATCTAAGACTGAATAGATAAAATTCAAGGAAATTAGGGTTTAGCACGCAATATGTTTGAATAACGGACGATGTTAATTTGCTACAACATAATCTGCTGTATACGATATGCAGTAAAGATCTGTGACGATTCACGTTAAGTTTATGAGACACTAATTCATAGAGGGCGCGCGAGCGCATCTATGAAATTGTACTTGCCAAAACTTTCTTCCAATAGTGTGTGACCATAGCCATCATCTACTGCTGCAGAATCTCCAATTAAAGACCACTGTTAAATACTAAATGTGGTAAAGACCATGTAACCCTTAGACCCTAAAGTGGTATGTAAATGGATGGAGACATGTTCTTTGAAAGTATGTCTAGCCTATTGTACATAGGCCCACGGGCCTCAATTTATCAGGCATTTGTTTTGCCTTTCCATTCGCCGCGGCAACTACACTTCCCTACCAGAGTTGAAACCTTGAAAGCAGCTTAGATCATGCTTAGACAAATGTATTTATGAATAAGGGGAGGATATCCAGGTTATCGTATGAACGTCCAGGTCTGTCGGCCAGGCGTATCTTGCCCCGGCTATCACGTCCTGAACACTCCAGGGATTCGCTTGATATCCTGTATGCTACAGGACGTGTACAGTTAGCTTAGGTCGGGTTGATTCAATCGCCTTTGGCTAAATTTCTATTTCGACGATAAAGGTCAGCCATAAATAGGCCTTTAGAAATTCTCAGGACATAATACCAACTTACTGTATATATAACATACAGATCAATAATCACATTTCCCCTTCTGTTGAAGCAATAGTTATAAAACTTTTGATGATTCAATTATACGTTATTATTATTAATAATTACCACCAAACTAATAGTTCTACATCTTCAAAACAATTTTTATTTGAGAATAGATAGAGGAATCAAGTAAAATACATTTACAGCAATTTACTTTGTAGTTTTTCATTATTGTCAATGATGGTTTATCTAACTGGCAGGACGTCGAAACGGTACACCAAGGCAGCTAGTTCGAATCCCGCAGCAGTCCGAATTCTGCTTGTCCTATTGGGTAGTTTATTACTTTCTTACTATAATATGATACGCACAATCATATCACAATTGTCATTACATGTTGGAATAAGATAACTTCAAACAAGAGTGTATGATTCGATTAAGCATAGCATTATTTCACGGTGGTATAATTGCCAGGACGTTACTCGTTGCAGCATCTAATGGAATATGCTCCTTTAAAGGCATACGTGTTCCATAGTAATTGTAAATGAGCGGATAATATGAAGCACATTATTTTAGTAGTATGGGCTTCACATAGGACAAATGGGCGTACAGTATGTTTCTTTTATTACCATAATCGTCAGCGTCATTTGCATATAATTATCATTGTTAACGTCATCGTTTTACCATCATCACCATCGTCTCAGGTTGTGGCTGTTGTTGCTACTGTTCCTCTATTGTTGTCTGCTGCTGTTGCTGCTGCTGTAGTTCACTTGCTGATTTTGGTGTTGTTGCGTTAATTTCTTGCGATGCATTTTATATAGGTCGAGGCATAAATTCTATAAATTATATCGTCAGACGTTGATTACTGTATTATATCAAAATGCCATTAACACTCAATATTTTGAGTTTTTGTGATAAATCTTAGTTGTTTGAGGCCTTTTAATTTTATTTTTCTGAAATTTCTGAATAAGTTCCTTAACGTATCTACATTATATATTGAACTCCAACACAAAAAAATGATGTTCATATTGTCTATTTTATTTCCAGAATAAAGAAGTTGTTTGTAGAAAAGAAAGATGTCCGGACTTAACTGGATGTTCTTTAGTAGTTAGTAACCCGAGCACGCAATGTTGCACACAGTGTAAAAGTAAGTAGGATCCAATGTCAACATAATGTTACAATGGATAATCATGACGTCATTATTTTACCTCATACATACATTTCCTTATCACCTAGCAGAAAATATTTTTCAATGCCGTCCGCTAATCTGAGACAATGGCCATCGCTGCCAGCATAGTGTAAAGCCTGATTTCCATAGAATCGCTACACTGTTGCTACAGGATTTTCAGTGCAATCGTTGTAATATGTAGCAGTCCCGATTCGACCGACCAATCAACATCACCGGAAGCTTCCGGAGATAGCGTGTAGCGATTGTATGGAAACCACGCTTAAAGCAACATATTCAGTTGGCTTGTAAAATTTGTACACTCATTGGAAAATGACCTTTGAACCAGTAGTTCTTACGGCATTCAGCAGGGCCTTTACTCTGTATTAAAACGAAATAACGGTTCTTTCTTATAGGCCTACTTGTTTTTCAACATTTTCACCCAAAATCTTAAAAAAATATATAGGCCTATTTATTGATAATATGATTAGTTGTGTTTTTCAATGATTGTAACAATATTAATTTGTAGAGTGACTTGCTATTCTGAGAAATAACCCTGAATACTTTTTAAGGCTTAGACAAACCAATTTAAATTGATGAAGATTTTTTATTGGACAGTTAGTCAGTGATTTTAGGGCTGTCAGTTACTTAGTGTGTGGATCAACATATTGCCATGGAAACCTCACAGCCATGAAAGTTTACCAACAAATGTTAATTTTACATGATGTAGCAATATTTAACTTAACCCGCGTAACGCCCGCGCAATTAGGTGGTTTATATAGTGAGAACGACGGGAAGCTGATACACGTTTAGCTCTGCATATTACATGTCAAGGTAGAAAGCTGGGGGAAAATTAATAAAATATTTAAATGTGTAAAATAATTATGTTTTTACAATTCTAATCCTTTTATGGTGATAAAACTCAATCAGAGAATTACATTCCTGACTCAATATATGTGTCAAGGTACAAAACTTTATAAATATACATTATCAGCCCTTAAAATTGCAAAGTAATAATAACGTGTGAAATATTGAACTATAGTCCTTCGATGTAGGCCTAATGTCAAGGTAGAAAACTAAGAAAACAAGATTTTTTTTTTAAGAAGGTAACCCTTCCAACCTTTCCGGATAAAAGCTGATACTCTTTTTAACATTTTAATATAATTATACAACATGAAGGGAAAAAAAATCAACACTTATATATATTAATAGAAGTAACCAAAGTAAACTCAAAAATTGTTCAGAAACCTAAAATGCTGACGTTTAAGAGTGTTTATTGCACTTTTATTCTGAATATGATCAATACATCAGTACAAATATACCAAATCAATACATATTATCAATATATTATTTATGTTCGATATACTTTTAGGCAACTAGGCCTTTGTCAATTAATTTTTATTTTTCTCTTCCCCTTCCCCTATATAAGCTAGGCATACAGTTCACTGATAATTATAACAAATACCGTAAGAAATTAATTAGATTCATCATTAATAAACAGTACCGCACTATTATATTAAATCAACACACTTATCAACAACACGTATTATAGTTATGTTCGAAAAGTCACGACCATCATTTTTCTTTTGTGGATAAACCATAGGGCTATGTTTAAAAAAACATTAAGCAAGTTAATGATTTGGAGAACTGTTGTATTAATATCTAATTATGTAACTTAATTTGTGTCAAAATGGGGTAGCGACTTTTAAATTCTTGCTGAAATTGAAATAAGCATCTTGCCATACAAACCGATGCTTCAAACTTGATAGAATTATTCAAAATATCATGCAAGAAAATTTAAAACCTACATAACACTCAGTCTGTGGACCGGTAATAAGAGACATTTAGGGCGATTCCAAACACAGTGGTTTCCAATTAGTGACTATGACGCGTGGGCTTGCAGGTTAGACTTAACATGTATATAATGCTCTTAAGCGAGTTTAAGTGCTATATTTGAAACAAGTTCAAATTGATAACTAACGAAGATTTGAGAGTTTCTCGATTAACCTATATGGTTCACACCAACCAGGTAAACCCGCCTTGGGCATGATACGAGTCCTCAAAGTTAGGTTCAACCTCACCAGAAACAAGTGTACGATACTTAACACAAAAGAAAGTGTATGACATTTCATTTTATTTCCAAATCGCATACTAAAAGGCCTCTTAGATTGCTGTTTATGTCAGACTCAACAGACACTCGTCGATTCACTATCGTATGTTTTCACCAAGTTAAGTTTTAATGTTTTACTATTAGGCTAACCTACAATGCATGGAAGCCGTATACATTAGAATAAAAGCTGCCAATATTGGTATTCAACGAAAAGTTTTCTTCTAGTTAATAATAATATATTTTATATATAATAGATAATAATAGTTCATTTTGTAGTCCGTGACTAGGTATACCATGCCTATTTTGTAAAGTTCCCGTTTTTTATTGAATCTAATTAATTGTCATGAAACGACAAAGAACAACGATAACAAAGTGAACGACCTACGCTAACGAGACGTTGTTTCAAGTTGTTGACTTATTTTCTTTTCCTCCCAGGTTGTTCATTCAATGGCGAGTATTATAGAAGTGGTGATGTCTGGTTTCCCACAAGCGATTCCTGCCAACAATTCCAATGTCAGGTCAGTATTGTTACGTTTCATTCGATTGTTATTGAATAATGTTTTCACTTATTAAAGTACATCAAATTTGAAAACACTGGAGAAATGACTGTGTATACTGTAAATACACCGGTACCACGTACAAACTGGGGAATTACAAATATCTGTCATGCGTGACCTATCCCTCCAACTTTTTTGTTTCCCACATTATCATTCTATCCTGACTTACAGTCAACCCCCTTCATCAGTCTGTCGCTCTGTTTGATTGTATATGTCTTCCAATCTGTAGGCATAATTAGTGTATGATGTTTTCAGTTATAGGTATGCAGATTGTATTGCGTTCATTATCTATAGTTAAAAGTCAGTGATCATTCGATGTTCTGCGGCCATACACAATTTTATTTTTGAACTCTATGAACACAATGATTGATCGGAATCATTATAAAACATGCCTGGAACAATAATCTAGACATAGCTATGGAATTGTTGGTCCCACGTTACCTAAGGAAAGACTCCCTAAGCGTACGTCATTAGTAACACTACGTTCGTTTTCTTTACTGATACGAACGCAATATTGTCCTTTATTAGTTAGACCTGTCGCATTTTATTAGGAATATCTAACGACATAGGTCAGTAGATTCTTTTAAATATAAGCCCATTGTCATTGTTTTCAGTTTTCTAACGTACGGTCACCCGATTAAATCCTATTTTCAAGTTAGGTAAAAGTAGAGGGCGCTATCAAAATATACACTACGCAAATCTAGTTTTGTTATGTTTTCCTTTAATTTACTTAAGTTTTTTTTTAATTATTATTTTGAATATTTACAGGTACAATAATGAGGTGATTGTCCATTTGTTTTATTTCAGGAAAGCGTGGTAACAGCATCAAGGGTGCAATGTTTTATTATCTGCACTAATCCTATATATATTGAGGGCCAATGTTGCCCTTCTTGTGAAGGTAATTGAATCATCATCAGCATCCTTATCATTATTATCATCATCATAATTATGACCATCAACATTATTATCGTCATTATCATTATCATTCATAACCATCATCATCCTCATCACCATTGTTATACTTTGCTATTCATCACGGTCACCATCATCACCATAATCATCATCATCAATCTAAATGTTGCTATCATTATAATACAGTAGTATCTTCGAACATTCTTTTCTCGCTTATTGCTATGAATTGCTATTTGTACCTTTATTTCCCAAGTGTATCAAAATATTTCTCATTTCGTTCGTGCAATCGTTAAATTGATGTAATAGGCCTATACTTATACACTTACACTGGAAACTAGGCTATCTAAAAAAACGCATCTAAAATATAGAGCACGGTAAGTCATTTCCATTAGGCCTAACGCTACTCCAGAATATCAACCTGTTAATCGAATTCATGGCTGTGTCTAGAGAAATAATATGTGATCCATGATGTGTCCTGAGGTACGATACATGAACCGCTCCCCTCGCTCTAGCCAGGTGTATAAACGGGCACCCAATATGCGACGAGTGTTATCTTTAAACCAATTAGTTGTTAGCGTGGCCAACAACGATCACCAGGCTAGATAGAAAGCGTCCCCAGACGCTGCGAATTCATCGGGGTATCATGACTAAGGAGAATACATTGTACTGTGCGAGAATGAAGGTGAAATTTATGATATTTTCCAGTCATGTGACTACATTCACTACGGTATTTATGCTATTATCAAAATCCTATTTATGACACGTTGCCAGACGTATAATGCGTAAATTAAATCTAACTTGCATGCAGGTTTTGGAAAGGTGTTTGAGTTCAAAAAGGAAGATCCCACTGTTTATTTTCATAAGGGAAACGGACAGATAGTGATTATATAAGAAAACATTCACATTCATATTCTAGACCTATGACTTCTGAAGTGGACTCAATTTTGCTTGGTTTCCCCCCGGGATAAATACAAATATAGAAAGTTATCGTTTTAAATGTCGCAAGAGGCGGCAGGCTACATAGCCTAGCAATTTTCCTTAAGAAAACTTCCGAATGATTGTTTAAACCAATCAAGGACTTTTAAATGTAGCGTTAAAAGTCCTTGAACGAATGTTAGCATTGATTAATTTTAGTGTTGATTGGAGCATATACGTTAGTTCGACACCTTTGTGCTTTCCTGGCTTGGGCCCCACTTTACAAGATGAAAAACTTCACAATCCTCTGGACAATTTCTGTCCGAGGAAGTTTTGACGTTCTGCAGATGACGTTCGCGAGCCCCAGAAGATTTATCGAAACGAAGTAAAGCAAATATTTAATTTAACGATATTTTACATTACATGCAACTCGAACAAATTTTTAGCTAGGGATTTTATGGAAAACTTAATGGACTGCGCAGAATTGATCGTTCCTTATTCCATTCATAGCGAAAGTTCCATTCAATCTTTTAACATTTAGTACCGTACATCGTGTAGAATCGTCCTCAACTTATGTTGGCCTATTGTGTAATAAAATGCCTCCGACGGGATATACAGATCTCACACATTGTATCGTTTTACAGGTCATTCTATTAGAACGATATTGATATCTTAATGTCATGGCAATAAGCTTATTACTCGAGTTCCGTAACTTTTGAATGATATGCTTTTTATTTCATATTTCCCAGCAAGGATTATGAACTGCAGAGCTTTTTTCAGTTTGGTTTCCCTTTTTTTCTTTTTTTTTTCTTAGGCTGTTTGTACGATGGCTCCCGACATGCCGATGGGGAGGTATTTACAGCATCTGACGACCCGTGCGTTCAGTGTAAATGCGAGGTAACGTTTAAAATAGGCGCGCTGGTGTTCAGGGATTTTGTCGTGATTTTTTTTTTCTTTTCGTGATTGAATTGATTAGTGTTTAGTGTTTTCGTTTTTTTTTTTTTTATTGATTGTTCAGAATTATTGAACTTTTTTTATGTTTTGTGTATGTTTTTATTAGCAATTTTGATTTACTTATCACGGACTTATTGAAACCTGTATGTTGAAATTGAGTTTTAGTAAATAAAGAGATTACTTACAAGACGGGCTTTTCTTTTTTGCTGAATTAATGTGTCGATATTGAAAACTCATCTGATGTTCTTTCAAATGTGAGAGAGTACGTGAGTGTTTTTGTGATAATGAAGCATTAAAATGGCGATCGGGCGCTAAAACGTTTTTCTTTTTTTATTATTTTACAGGGAAAAAATGTAAAATGCACAAGGAAAGTTTGTCCAGTATTATCATGTCCAGAATTGCATCGGCGGACGCATCCCGGCCAGTGCTGTCCGTCGTGCATAGGTAAATATATTTGTAAGCATTATTGATAGTCAAACTTGGAGCACGGGGCACAATATAATATAAAACATTGAGTTGATTGAGGGCGCCAATCATGCATATTCTTAAATTAATCATTTCAAGTGTAATATTAGTCATTTTCATGTCATTTTTTTTATGAGACATCCGACAGAAGTAGAGGCGTTTTAATATGAGCGTGGATAATTTTGTAAATTGCGCTCAAGGCTAGGCCCCAATTTTCCGCAACTGCTCTTCAAAATAACTCGTCAAACATGTTTTAAACACTGTCGGCACTTGTCAAGTGTCGTTTATGTCGCAAACGTGGGTGGGAAAGAAAGAGAAGGGCGTCCATTACACCAAACTGAATATTTGTTCAATACTGCACATCGATTAAGTGCAGAAATCATGAAAAAACTTTTGAAATCTTGAAATTTCATTAAATATTACTATTAATAAGTGATAACTTTATTTAAGAAAAAAAATACTTGCCTAATATATTCCGAATGATTTTTATGGATACTTCGATATGCATGTACTTTGATATTTACTGTTATGATAGGTTACACTTTTCAGATTAATGATATGTGTAGACTGTATATTATTTCACAAACTTTCGTCCAACTGTTAACATTGACTCTGTTAATCAGGGGCGGATCCCGAGATGTCCGAAAGTGGGGCTGATCGAGATAACATCATCCTATATGGTCCGGAGGCATTCCTCCGCGGTCTTTTTTGTTTTCTAGACGCCCAAAAAATAAACTCTGAGGAGTTTTGGGCCATCAATTTTCCCCCTTTTTTTTCTTTCACCTTTATTAATAAAAATAATATTATTTTCAATTATTTAATAATAACAATGCATATTACTATAATAACAATATTGTCATTCTTCCATAGTCCAAAGAAGAGTGTTCGAGTTAGGAAATAAATGTATTTATAAAACTGACGTCTATGAAGATGGAGAAGTTATTATCGTCGATGAATGCACACGGTGTACTTGTATTGTAAGTAGAACATGTTAGATGATATTGCTGCCATCACTGCATGATGTACAGCGATGTTAAAGGTATATACTTAATAGGCCTAAAGGTAAAAAAAATACAATTGCTCATTAAAAAAAAAATTTAATATCCTATGAGATAGGCCTACAGATTAAAATAATGCAGTTTTCGCTGATTTACAAACATTTCACTACAAATATGCTTAAATTTATTATCAACCAATTTTAGGGTCTGTGCAATTATAATAGGAACGGAAATAGTTATGCTTCATTCGTGAAGAAAATGCTTTCAATTGAAAGTTAATTCTAGGCATGTTATTATTATTATTATGCTATTCACGTTTTGAGTTTTATTATTTTTGTTGAAGTTTAGTTGCTCAACAGTAGATGAATCTTTTACCTCTGTCCACACTATCAAAAACCTGTTGTATGCCCGTATATTGTCATGATGTGCCTATATATGGTCATGATGTGATGTCATCATGACCATATTTAGGCATTTCACAATGTTTTTGTCAAATAAAAATAGTCTGGACAGGGCTTTATAGAGTGTGCATATTTTGACGTCATAATTAGCGATTAAAGTATGGTGCGCGCGTCTAGATATTAGGCATTTAATATTACAGCCAATCATAGGGCGTTTTAAAACAAGATTAAAGGACGAGTGCATAGGCCTACAATAGTTCACCAAATGTATGAGGCGTACACCCGTGACTAGCTGCCACTTACATTAAGCCGGCAGAAAATCGGTACTTAGTTGCCATTACCTTAAAGACTGTCACTTGCACATTTACAAACAACTTATTAACATGTTTTCATCATCCTAATCTTATTTACGCAAATTAATGTCTCTCATCTGAGTGATAAACATGTGTACTGATGAATGAATGCGTGTTAACTTTCTTAACGTAATATGGTACAAGTGATGCTGAATATTTTTATAGCAAGATCATTGAACCCCTTTGGAATTATCTTGTCGGCTCATTCGACTAATGATTCTTAGAAACAAATTTGATGGCAGTTAAATGCATCGACTGATTAATAATCATGATAATTTTATCAACCCCATCTGACATCAACATTTGCTCAAATAAGTGAAACGTCTTACACAAGAGGTGTTGTTTCTTGAAACACAGTCAAGTAACATCGTCATAAGATGTTTTACTCATGTATTTTAAAGTGGAGTGAGACAAGTTGTCAAAATGTTGGATCAAAGGGCACCCATCGTGTATCTCCTTTCGTAGTAAAAGTTCGAATCGTCTTTGTTTGCAGGATACGACTTTAATGTGTCACAGGCAAGCGTGTCCTGATTCATTACCATGTGGTGTCAACGATCAAGTTATTGAACACGGAGCATGTTGTCCGAAATGTCGCCGGAAAATGTGCCAAGTGCAGGACAAGTTTTACGAGGTAAATTATCACGTTCAGCTCATTAATTCAAGTTTTAATATTTTATTTTTTTTTCCAAATTCAACTTTAGTTAACCCCCTTCAACACTCCATTTAAAGCTGGAGAATGTATAAACGACAGCTAATACTGACACTATATAATCACCATACAATTTTTTCTCTTTACGATGCGTGTTGGATTTGGAAAATCACCAGTTACTAGTACACACAGTAAAACTGTATTATCTTAAACAGTTTTGCGTATCCACCTCACTTGTAAGTTTTTCATGTAAAATATATCTAAAGGTTTTATCAAAAAAGTTTTGGACGCACACCAACATTAAAAAATAAAAGTAGCCAACCGACCAAAGTAATTTTGATACACACTGATATTAACGCATAGATTTAAAAAATAAATATATATATATATGTATATATATATATATATATATCGTTCACAACAGACCTATATATTCATAATTATATATATATACACAATTATGAATATATAGGTCTGTTATATATAAT